TCTGTAATGCTTTGACTCTATCTTCGACGATAGATATTCACGTATCGCGTGACTTCTGGATATAAAATATCATATTAATATATTCTACATATGTAATCTGTAATGTAGTCATCCCTTTCTCTCTTTCGCTTTACAAGATATATCTGGTCGTTTATTTTTAATATGACTCTTTGAATTTCAAGTCGCGGCTTAAGTCGATTAAACAAATTTTTTATCACATCGATTATGCAAATTTACCACTGTAAAGCACAGGAGTTAAAATGTCATCCATTAAAAGGGATAGAAGGAACATTTTTCTGATATCTCGTTTAGTCGTGCAATCGATGTCGAGGACCAAAATGGACCGCGATTTTTTACATCCTAAAATCGGTCGCAGGTTGCAAGCAGGTAGCAGATTGCCATATGAGAATGACTAATTGGCGCGCAGACTGCAATCTGCAGCCTGGTAACTTTGTGACAAATAGAGGTAGAGGAAGGCGCATCGTTTATGACATAACGAACCGCTTAAAACGTTTCCTGTCCACGTAAGAGTTATCGTATCAATTATTCACCGATGTAATAAATACGATCGAGCATTTTAGAACATCGGTGATGTTTATGGATGCAAATATTATTACACTCGCAGTGCCATTAATCATCGTATATTTGTAATATCGCGCATCTCTACTTTATTCGCGGATCATTTTTCAAATGGAGATAGAAGAAAGTCAAAATCGGTGAAAGAATTTGTAAATGTAAGGAAACATGAAGTAAGAATAATTTATTTGCGTTTTTAAAATAAGAAAATAACAACATTTTATTTAGAAGAAATCGCATTAATTAGATAATAAAATAACGTTATCGATAGTGTTCTTGCGAGTTAACACAATTACAGTTGACTTTTGAATTCAATCGAATCTTTTTCCTAGTAGATTTTCCAAAAATACAGAACGAGCGAGTCGCAATCAGTTCGAATACTACATGTATGTCGACTACGACAACAGAGCTCTGACATAGTCGATAAAGCGATTACCCAAGTTACATTATTCGTTATACACATAGAATGGCATTACCTCGATCGCGATATCGCCGTGATTCGAATTCCGTAAGATTACACCATTAACTAGCAACGATTAATCGTCGACCGTCGTCACAGTAGATAAGCTTTTTGTAAAGAATTCGGAGCGTTTGATCTCTTTTAAAACCACGCGCTGTTCGCCATAGTCAGGTCTAATAAAGACTTCACTCTCTAATAAAGACTGCACGCGGACTCATTTCGTTTTAGAGCCGAGACTAAAAATAGAAGAAAGGACGTACGCCGAGATATTTCAATCCAATCGTGATCCGTGTCATCGGTTACTCAGTGTGGAAGAGTTCGAGGATGTGGGCAGCTCCTGCGATTCGTTATTTGAGCAGATCATACTGATGATTATCAATCTACTTGATATTCGTGAGCTTCGGTCTAAATAAGAAGAAATGTTCTTTCGGTGCTTCGTGCTTAATCAACGCTTCTGCTCTGGCTTCGCGACGCTCCGGGCTTTAACCCGGTTAGTTTATCGGAGATCGACACGCGACTATTGTCCTTCTCGCTCTCTCTTCAATTATTTCTTTTTCTCTTTTCGTGATTCGATTACTCATCGTTGAAGGTCGCGAAGCAGTAGCGGGTAAATAGCGTGATAAAGTCTGTTGCACGTATAAATTCGTACCTCTTACAGGATCGAGAATTTTGTCGAATAATGTGATTTTCCTTTGAGAACGTAGTCGAAAGAAGTAAGAGCATCTCTCAGGGAGATTTCCGTCCCGACTAACGGACAAAGGTCTCATCCCATTGTTCTATGATTTATACCAGTATCAGCCTCAGGTATACTGAACCAAGTTTCTAGTAAATTTGGTCCTACCACCGGCATCGACACTTGTCACCTAAAATCATTAACCGAGCCAATCCCAATTCACCTTCGTCTACGTACCAATAGGATTGCTACTCGGTTTTTTGTTAATGTATATGTGTGTCCTTTTAAGAATAAGAATGTGTAAGAGTGTTCCTTTAGAATAACTTCTAACAAATGCAGTGTATAAAGATAAGCAGCAAAATATAGACGGTGCAAATTAATTTAGAGGTAAAAACGCTTTGAATCGATCAAATCTATTGATTTTCAGAGCTGTCTCCGTGACAAAATTGAAGCAATAAAAGAAGTAAAAAAGAAAAAAAATAAAAAATCTAACATCTATAAATGTCATTTAAATTTATAACTATCGTTTTAATAAAACTGCGATCTTTCTCTTAATTGCATATATTTCTAATATTTTCTAATTTTTATATTAATTAATGTAATATGTAAAATTTATATTTATTTTTTTATTGAAAATATGAGCCCATTAAAGTTTAGTTGTATTGTCGAGCATGTTTATTATTTTTTAATAAATTTCAATAAATCCTGGTTAAAGATTGGAGAATTTACAAAAGGTGTTGGAAGCTTCATTATATCCAAGGGTGTAATTCGCTCACGTATTATACGAGACAGGATCTTACATTGATGCGCGCATCGAAAGATCATTTCCCGTGAGATAAAATCTCAAAAGGCGCCGACATTCTTCTCCATACGATGTCTCAGCGTTCGATGAACTGAGCCATTTGGAGCAGGATTTGGCGACACGTAGTCGGAACTTTAGGACTAGTTTAAAAGGGACAGTGAACTCATAAAATATAAAATAGCAAGACCCTAGTATTCGCTTATCGCGTTTAATCGTCCGATGCTAATTAAGATAATCTGCTAGCAATTTAGAAATTAACTGCCGTTTTCCGAAAGAATATTTTGCATCGACAGATGTGTTGCTTCAATGCAATTTTTCTAAAATATTTAAAATTATTTAGAAAATATTAATACTCAATATACAGACTATTTTATAGAGTTTTTTATCACGTCATGTAATGTATTTTTTATTAATAAGTGTATTAATTCTAATCATTTTGTTTCTAATAAATTTGAAGACAATTTTTCCTCAATGGAATTTGAATTGTACGATATCTTTTTTCGCTGACTGCAAAATGTCAACATTAAGAATGTTAATAAACAAGTCTAAAATTACAATCTTGTCTGAAATTGAATGTAGAACAAGATTTTGCTACTCGCTTGAAGCTTAATTTGCCAACGTCCTAGTTATTACGACACTATTAAATGTACGTGTCCTACAAAATGTTCTACAATGCAGACACTATCGCTAGTTATCTTACATGCCGTCGGGCATCATCTTGGATATTGAAACCGTGTTGAACACGCATTTAATAGCGCAGCGTAAGCAAAAGCGCTGGAACGCATACCCACTCGGCGAATGCTGATTCCTTGCTGCTATCAAGGCAAAACGAGCGACGCAATGTGACAACCGAGACAATCGCGCGCGGTCGCACGGGCGAATAATCGGCGCGCGGCTCGATTGATAATTAATTATCTCGTTGCGCTTGGGCCACCGGGCATTTCGCGACGTTGCTACGTTTCGTCATCAGTGTCCCGTTCTCTCGCGCGTCGCGGAGATGAACCGTATATCGCGATTTTTTTTTCTTTTCTTCTCCCTCGCCATTCTCTGCGCGTCCTCGTCCCGCGCGTCGCTGGCATTTCGATCTTCACCGCGCGATCGTCGCGGGTGGAGCGAGGGGCGAAATCTGCACGTGTTCCGGCCAGAAGAAGGTCCTTGAATGCCTCGTGAATGGTGCAACATTCGACATTCATTGAAATATATTAAAATAATCGTGCCGTTGACTCACTTAGGAAAACAAACCTCGGGCTCTCGGCTCGCGGGGATTGCGCAACCGTCCCTCTCGTCACCGTCACCGGACGTGTACGAGTCAGTGTGGCAGAATACCACAGCCGATACGACTCGTGTACCGTAATTTATATACCGCCTGGCCGTCACATCCCGTCGACGAAACGAAAGTAATAAAAAGCGATAAATAAATCTGCGCGCGAATGGCGTGAACGCGCCGACCCGCCTGTCGATGGCGGCGAGAAACCGCGTCCTCTCTCACGCGCGGCGCGCCCGCCGCACTTTCGATCCGCGGATTGTCCAGCTGTTATAAAGTGACCTTTAAATTATTGTGCGCCGAGCGTGTTGCGTGATGGCTCAAAAATGCGCCTGTGTTTGTGAGATACGTTCGGACAGCGATCGTGCCAGGTGCGGAGAGAAATCGACGCACGGTAGGAAGAATATTCCGTGATACAGCACGAGGAGTATCTCGAAGACTTGGCCATTCGCGAAGAAAGAACGGTGCAATGGTGGGAAGAATTGTAGCCGATATCGTAGCCATGTCATCACGTTTTCAAAAAATTCTCAAAGCTTGAATATCAAGCTGATAACGATTTGTTAAGAATATGGTGATAATTCGAAGGTGTGATAATTTAAAAAGTTAGAACACTGAATCGCAATTTTCTAGCGATAATTTTACGATAGAGCAATGACGACGACGAGCAGGAAATTGAAAAGAATTTCTGAGAAAAATTCGATCGAAGAAATCAGCAATAAGATGCCATTTATCTTAGATTAGTACGGAAACTCTTTCGAAACTTTTGCCAGAGTAAAAATAGAATTGATAAGAGATTCAGATTGGAAGATATGCGACAGTTAGGACAGATGGCTCCATTCCACGGTGCTAGTTTCTCGAGTTGCGCCCGGCAGGGCATGGTAAGGGTTGTCGCCACGTGTCCCGCTATGAAATCGCCGCAACTTTTCTTCGCCGGCTGTGAGCGCGGCTGGTAACGCGTTTCCATATCATTTCACTATAAAAAGAGAGTACGAGGTGCGTGAGGCAAAAGTAGGGTTGCGCGGCAAGCGGGGGCGTTCGTTTGTGGTGAACACGCCGCGAGAGGGATAGGAGGAGGGATAGGGAAGAGAGCACGCCGATGGAGGGGCAGCCTCGTGTACGATACGAGTGGAGGGGTGGCACGAGAGGGGTGGGGGTACGCTCTAGTCGAGCGGCAGCGGCAGGGAAGCGGCCAGGTAAGCGACGAGCGAACACTAGTGGGGCTGACTTGCGCGCCTTCGAGCCGTCGGGAAACACGGCGAGCAGCAGCGGCATCGTTGTTGTATATTGTCGCGCTACGCGTGCCACGGACGTGTCGTCGCATCGTCATCGTCGTTGCCGTTGCCGTTGCCGTTGCCGTTGCCGTCGACGAACCGCTGCCGCGCGGAGCGCCCTGGAATACGTCGTCGTTGGCCGTACGATCGACCGTACCTTCGCGCTCGCGGTCCCGCCGGCTTCTCTCTGACTCCCCCTCGTGCGAGGAGGAGGGTGCGATCGCCGCGGAGGGTTGATCGCTCGGAGCGGCGCTGAGAGCGGTGCGTTTTCGCGCGCGTTCACCGGAGCATACCGCGGAGCGGCGGTATTCGCCACGCTTTACTGCCAACCCCCGCCGAGTGCCGTCCACTGTGCTGCCGACTCCTCGTGACGATAGAACGCATTGGCACGCTTCCAAGCTGGCGAAACGGTGACTAGCTGGCTGCCACGGTGCTACCACCGCCTGCCTCCGACTTTGGGAATACGACACTCGCGTGTCGCTGTCGTTTTATTCGGGGGTAGAATTACGTCAACGTGCGAATGAGAGTTTTCGCGCATAGCCGACCGTAGTCACATACAGAGTCGTTTAGAAACGTGTCGCAGATACCTATAGCTACGAAAATCACGTTAGTTAATTGGTATCTGTGCAGTACGGCGAATAGTGTGACGTATGCGACAGTGTAACGTGAAAATGACCGCCTAGTCTCGGGGCAATTCGTTTCGGAGCACAAGTTTCGGAGTTTCTTCGTTACCTCCTATCTTCTACGTATTTTTTTACGAATGAAGTGGACGTAGTGTGAACGACACCGTGTGAACGTCAAGTGCTATCGATCGGTCTCGCGATCGATCAGGGGAGATCAACAGTGTGTTCCACGCCACGAATGGAGGCAAAGTGATAAAGGAACGGCGGCGTCGTTAGAGGATTTTAAAAGCAGCTTCCGGAGGCCAGCCCGACGCAATGCGTCGACGCTGCTGACGCAAACGCGCCTGGATGCGTCTCACTCTTAGCACGTGAGTGTCTTTTTAACTAAAAGAGAAACGGGAAGACGGGGAAAGGAAACGCGAAAGAGATTTACGCACGATCGTTCGTCTGTCGGCATTGTCACGCCGGATTACCTCAAGGAGGCTCCTGCCTCGCGTATCTCGATCGAGTCGTGCGCGAATCAATCGAATTAAGATGATTCCAAGGGGATTGGGTGGAAGGACGATCTCAGCATCCCCACCACGTTACACCGACACTTGAACGTTCTTCTCGACTCGACGTCTTTCTTCTCTCTACACATCGCGATTTGCGAGAAAAAAAATTTGCATTCCGCGTGGTGGTCTGCGTATTGGTGCTGCGTGCGGTGGCGGTGTTATTATTATTGTTTGGTGGTAGTAAGTGGTCGCGAGTGTGCACGCGACAACGGTGGTGAATGATCCTGGCTCCGAGCTGACAAAGGTACTCGTACACGAATACTGGGATGACGTCCGTTTCGGATCACGCGGTTCCTTCACGATCTCGTCAATCCACGTCGCCTAACGCGGAAACAAATGTAAGTTTCCACACGCGGAATCTCGTCGCGATATTTCGAGGTGCGTTTCGGGCTAGATCAGAGTTTGCATCGCAGCTTGACGAGCAAACGATGAGACGCGAGCTGAGAGCTAAGTGAAATAAAATCTAAGTGCAATTCAAGTGCAATAATTTAAAAAGAAACGATTGTATTAGATTTTATTTTTAAATAATTGTATATTATGTATAATATAAGTATATTAAACATCAATTCAAATGCCCTACGATGGAAACTTATTGAATTTTACTTAAATAATTTATTTAAAACAGTAAACTTCTCGGCTGTTCACAGCTCGCAACTTGTCCTCGGTTAATGTTCAAGCGACTTGAAATCGTTTCTCGAGAGAGTAACCATGAATCGATTTACAGATATCATTTAGATTAAATGTATAAGTATGCCACAGATTTGCTTGAGATCGTTCATCCAAATAAACTCTTTTTTTGACACTAATGATATTAAATATACAATAGAAATATGATGAAAATATATTTTATTGTGCCAAAAAATATAAAATAGATATAAAGAACAAAATCTTGCTTGAAATCGTTTGTCGAACGAAGTTGGTTTTGTACCTCATAAAAACCGTTCAGTCATTTGAGACATAAATTTTTCCTCGAAACAATATTATATAATAAAAAGATGGATTTCAGTCTAAAAAAGGTCCGTTGATTTTAAAATGCAGTTATGATCAAACACGACGAGAGACAAGTCATGGATACAACGGCGCTTGTATAACGGTATCCATTACGAACAAGATGTGTGCTACTGGAATAATTTAAGGGCAAAGACAACTACTTCTTCAGATTTTTCTCCCCTATACATCATAAAAGCGACCAATCTTTCGTGATCGTAATCTGCATTGTAATTGATGCCCTCGAATAAAATTGTATTTTAATTTATGGAATGTATGGAATTTTTAAAGACGAAAAACTTGGTTTCCATCTTGAAGAGCATTATTTTTAATTTATTTATATTGTTGCTAGTGCATAACAGTCCCAAACAATGGCACTCTCAATCATCACAGCATAACCCTTGATCATGCTGAGATGTGCAATCCCTACAGATGAGCGTAAAGGATCTTAATAATTTGCAGTCGGTTAAGGAAAACCCTATATTCTTTTCAAACCAATAGTTATTCAGGTTTGGTAGAAAAATTCACACGTAATTTCACGGTGTCACTTACAACGTATCGAATTAGCTATTTTGGGTATTAATTCTTTTCTTCGATCTTTCCATTTTTCAATTTTTTTTCTTTTCTTCATTCTATATTTTAGTTCTTTATTCTATTCTATATCTACAATTAATCAAATTTTTCTTTTATATTCTTTATTTTTTATTCCGTTTTACATACATATTATAGATTTTATTGCGTTATGTTATATCATTATACATATTACATTTTATTATGTTAACAGTGCGTATATACTATACATTTTTCTTATTAACGATTTTTATAGCCGATTGTTTTCGTAAAGATTTGCAGGTACTTAAGTGCAAATTAGCACGTTAATTAGATAATATCCCATTTAAACTATACTCACTAGTCCCTGTTAATATCCGAGCGATTTAATTCTCGACACTTTTATCTTAAGTACTAAAAATTTTTGAGATATTATCTAAGCATCTTATGTATGAACTCGTTTGTATGAACAATTGAAAAATATCAATTGGACTTTCGAATCGTCAACACCGACTTATGGAACACCGACTTATCAGAGATCTGCGCGAATAGGTTTCGATTTCGTTGGCGACACACTGTCGCGATGGATCGTTCTGCTGTTCAAATCGCGCCCGCACAATATACATAGAAAGGCGATGGCCATAAAGTTCGCTTTTGATCGGATAAACACTCGATCATGGAATCCCGCCGCGTCGACGATTATCAAAAGACGGCGAGTTGTCAGCAAGAAAATCAGTCGACAAATCCGCGATAACGAGGCATATTTTAGATAAGAAAAACGCGCAATTAAAATATTTTTTGGATGAGCTTTGTGCGATTAGACAATTCAACAATTCTACTTCCATATCTTTTTCTTTTTGATCTTTACCTTCTGTTTTTTTTTCCACTTCCTTGTTCTTCTTTCCTCTTCGTTTTTTTAACAAATCGCTGTATCTCGTATTCGATTAATCGTTAAAGTCTTAATTAAAGCCTTTCTCTATTAATAAAAAATTGACGACTTTCAATCGTGCGCCGTGAGCGTTTCTCTTTGTCTTGCGAGATTGTATGATCTGCACGGTACCATTATCTGCATTTCAATTTATTTTGCTACGATCCCTGTAATCACCGGCACGTTTTCGTTATTTCGTTCATGGGGAACGGAACGCGTGCGTGCGGGGCGGCGTAACGTGTATACACGAGTCGTTCATTTCGCGTTGTATGGAAGTCTGTTTGAATTGTAGAGAATTATTCCCCGCTCTGATACGAGTGACAGCATTCGTTGCGCTATATGATCATAAGTTCATAGACCTTTCGTGACTCGTTGGATCTTATTTGCCAATAGCGATTGGCGACTTTTGTCCGCGCGCACCTTGCATCATTGGATGACAATGAGTTTTGAGCAGATTGACCGGAATATAGGTGGTGCTTTTTCTTTGAATTTCTCGCAAGGACTTGAAATGTATCGTTAAAGAGGTATTTTATTCGTCTTTTAGAACGAAAAGATATATAACGGTGAAAGATGAGCATTCTGTGTGAAATTCTCTCGCGAATTCTTCTTCGAGTAGCAACCGATCGATGTCCATCGAATGGAACGACGCCGGGTAACGAAGCTCGACCTACGCCGCAACGTGTAAACATTGTAAATCCCTGGCGACGCGTGTGCTAACATGAATAATAAGCGAACATAAGAAAGATTTTAGCGGTTACGGGGTCGATGGATGCATATAATGCACTTTGGTTCATGCTCAGGTCTCATTAAAGGAGTGCGTGATGCGAGCATTTTAGATCTGGTCGCACCGTTTTTCCACGTAAAGCACACTTAAAGTATACTCGCAAACTGAAGTATCATGGACGAAATTGCGTCAACACATATGCAATTCTTTTAACGTAGATATTATAGTCTTTGAGATATTATTTTTCAGAGAGAAATAATTAAACTGCAATTTTACGACATTTACGTAAATTCTCCTTAATCGTTTTGTCAAGGATTTTTTGAGTAAAGAAGCCGCTTGTATATTATATATTTTTTATTTGGAGAGAATATTAATAATGAGAAAATATTTGAAAATATATTTCTCATCAATGATTTGATTTATAGAAAGGCATTTATAGAATATTATTATTATTATATTAATGCAGATCGAAGAGCAACTGGTGGAACGTAAAAATGATAGAATATTCTCTCGTTCGATGTTATTATTGGCGCCGATTGCAATAAGTAATATGTCGAATAGTATCGATATACACATAGACACCGGAGACAATCCAATCAGAGAAAACAAGGTCGCGGTAATAACATTATCTCTCTTGTGTTACAGTTTGATATCGAATACTATTGCGACAAGGTTTCATTGAATTGATGAGTATCTATGAATGTAAAGTCCTTGAGATTTCGACTCGTTTAATATCAAAACCGGATTCATTCAGAAGTAAATGGCTTTATAAATCTGAATCCTGAATCTGAATTCTGAATCTAATCCTTAATATAGAACTGAATTCGTTTATGCAGTATGCTTCGATTGGCACGGATAAAAAGAATAACAGAAAAAAAACCAACGAGCTCTGCGATTGTTTTGGTACCTTGTCGTTGATAATCTGAAGGCAAGATACTTGTCTTGCTAATCAGCGGTCTTACTAATTGAAAGATTCAGATCAGATATCTTGTAAGCAAAAATTATCATCGAGACAACATAAGTATGCATTAAGTGCTTACCTCAAATCATTAGGTAACTTTGTACACCTTGCACTTAATATTGCTTTTGGGCAAATACCTTATTATCGATGTAAGAATAAATTTTTGTTGAGATGGAATGGAATATACAAGAATAAAGCAGTTAATTAACATTATTCATATGTGAGTGGCTTCTTATTGTAACGATCTTATATAACGTGAGTTTCGAATACATATTGCATTAACTTTTTGGATTTTTAACAAAAAGTCCATTACTATTATCGATATTATCTTATTTGAATAAGAAAAAAATTTGACTTTATGCAAAGTAGTTAACGACTAAAAAAACAAAAGTGTTTTTCCAACAGTATTTATCGATAATTTGATAAATTATCAGATATAATATTGAATAAAGATATTTATTTATAAGCAGAACTGTTCAACATTAGATGCATTAGATTATCCAATACTTCCAATTCGTTTATTTACTTTAAAATAATAAATACATAAGAATAATTATTAAATTTAGATTTTTATTTGATAATAATATTAACATCGATGTCATCCTTATAAAAAGAACCACAATCCCAAAATGAACTCTCGAAAATACATGATTTATATATGCATC